TCTTCCTGATAATTTTGCTTCTAAAGTAGCTCTTTTCATTAATGACAATTATGTACAACATAATCAACTTTATACTTCGGTCTTGACAAAATGTCATCGCATTTTGATTGCATAGAACAGGAGGCCTATCTTGAATATGTTCTCTCTTCTGTGACAGAAGAGGTTTGCATTACCTAGTGAATTTTGACGCAAACAAAACTCAGTTGTTCAAGCTATCAAAAATTATTTCATTATTGTTGATATTTCTTTATTGATGACTAGCAGTACTCTACTTTGCTCTACTTATCCTCTACTTTAGGTTTATCAGACTATTTTTCGCTATTGACCTTTCATTGAAACCATATAAACAATCATTGCAAAGTTAACATAGTTAAAAAAGTTAACAATTGCTAAGTTGCCTCTCTTTATCATGTTTGCCATTTTCTTATTCTTATTTCCATTTTCCTACCTCTATAAATCTCTTTCTATTTGTCTTTATATGGAATATTGCTGTCATATTTGAGCTAGTTTTTTCTTACAAAGCTCTTTTTTTTTTAGACAAGGTCTAAAAAACGTTGATGTAGTGAGGTCTGTTGATGGGACCTGCTCTAGCTGCCAAGCCTGAGTGTTTGTCTCAGTATTTCAAAGATGCAGCTTTTTTTCATTTATAAAAATTAGCATGGTAACTTCTTTAGTAAACTATCATATTTTGTGTCACAAACCTAAACACTGTCTTTTGTGGTTCCCCATTCAACTCTCCATGTTGCAGCCTTTAATTCTTTTTTCATTTTTTTATTTAGGAATCCAAGGAATCCATATGGCATATCAAAATTGTGTTAAGTCTATTCAATTGTACGGCCCAACTAATGTGGCTCCTATTATTAAACATGTTACGCTGTTTGCTTCAAACACATTAAAAAACCAGGAAAACACTACCTTAGCAACAGTAATAATTTTTTGTATTTTGAAATAAGGGGTCAAGTGGGATTTTTATTGAGTAGTTAAAATTAGTAAAAGGACACATAAGAATTTTTTGAAACATTCCAGTAAACATAGTTTAACTGTAAAAACATCAATAAGATTGTTTAAATATGTCAAATGAACTTATTTAGCTTATTTAAAGCATCGGTTAAGTTTTATTTTCTAACTCTTCTAGGTATGTAGTTGTAGTTTATTAGAAAAAAGTTTCATACTTTACAAAATGTTTTCTTATTTTTCTGTGTTCCCTGAGGAATAATTTTTTTTATTTATTTTAATATTTCTTAATTTTTGCTATATTTCATTGTCATGTTTTGCGAATGATGCAGTGAAACTGTTTGACAGACTAGAAATTTCTGTAATTCTTTCTTGAATGTCTGCAAAGAAATATTTTCGGAATTCAAAATTTAAAGTCAATAGCAGCTAACTCGCAAACAAAAGATTGTGTTAATCTTTTGCACCAATTTATTGAAAAAAACATTATTGGTACTTGCAGGGATACAAGGCATCTTAATAGAAAGATAGTTTGCCTTGCTTGCAGATATGATTTGCATGAGATCTCCATAAAGGAAGTCTGGGAGTTGTTGTTTGAAAAATATTAATCTCTTGTTTATACAGTGTTTAAACCTGCCTACGAGCCCTACAAAGCCAACACAAGAAATGATGCAATATCATTTGATCTTTTTATATATAAAAGAATCACTACTCATAAAGATAATCTCACTTGTCCCTAACTACTTTTTTTATTTTCTACTTTAGGTTTTTAACAATAATTAGATTTTTTTTACTTTTAAAATTTTATAACATTTAGAACTACTTTGTGTTGTTGTTACTGACTGATGGTGTCATCTCTGATATGGATGATACTGTTTCAGCAATAGTGGATGCATCATATCTTCCAATATCTCTTATTATTGTTGGAGTGGGAAATGCAGACTTTTCACAAATGAATTTTTTGGATTGCGATCAAGGAAAGTACGTAAATTTTTAAAAGTTTATTTTGTACATAATTTGTGCAATTGAATTTTTTGCTATTTTAAGTTTTTGAATCTATTCCTTTTTTTACCCCAAACTCCATAGCCGCCATTTTACATGAGGACTCCAGGTTCATAATTGATTAGTTGTTGTAGCTTAAATACCTGATTTTTTTTTACAAAGTAAAAAAAATATAAGTCATAAATATAAAAATATAAGTCCATAAGTCTTTCAACGTTTTTTAGTTCCTGGCTACCTGTAGTGATTTTTTTGGCTCTATGTTTACATACTATTATAATACTCAGTCAATATACCATAAGTTTTATGCAAAAATATCTTTAAAAAAATTGTAGATTGACGACATCTTATGGGAAACAAGCTTTCCGCGATATTGTGCAGTTTGTTCCATTTAGAGATTTTAAACATGTAAGTTTATTTTTTTATTTTATTTATATTACTTTTGTATTTAAATTTTCAATAGAATGTTATTAAGTATGAGAAAAATTCAATTAAAAAAATTGTTTTGTTTTACATACTTTTGTTTTTTTAATAAGTTTTTTCAATTGACTTTTTTAAATTGATTTGATTGAAAGACATGCATAACAACCCTGTGGGCACAAGACGTACAAAAGTTGTATTAACACGTATAACTACATGTTTTAGACGACTTAAATACGTTTTGTGCCCACTGTTTTATTATGCATGTCTTTAAATCAAGCTGTGTATGCTATTATTCAAACTAGAATAAAAATAAAAAGTTGATAATGTATTTCTATCCTAAGCGGAACTTTGTTAAGATATGTAGAGAAGATACTTTTATGGTTAGGTAAAGTTTTTAAACATCTTACATTAAACAACAAAATGAGTTGTCGTGTTACCTAATTGAGCTTTTAATAAATAATTACCTAATTGAGCTTTTAATAAATAAAGAAATGTGCATTTGTATTACAATTAAAATAAATAAAAAAATTTAAATTATTTAATTTTTTATTTAATTTATGTGCAAAAATGTCTTTGTAAACTTTAAAGAATTTTGTACATAATTCTATCCATTTTTTTTTTTTTTTTCTGTTATTGTTATCCTTTATCTTTTTATTTTCAGGCATCACCAGCTGACCTTGCCCGAGCAGTTTTAGCTGAAGTTCCAAACCAGGTCACAGAATATTACGAGTTAAAAAATATCCAACCACAACCACCTAGGCAATTTGTTTATCCAACCGCAACTATCTAGAAAATTTGTTTACTCGCGACAATCAAACAATTAAAAATCGTAATCGAAATTCTTTTTTATTATAGAAAGTTGATTTACAACTATTTAAGTCCAATTTAATGTTTTTTATTTATATATTTATTGTAATTTTATATATTTTTTATGTCTTGTGTTTTTCTTTATAATATAATATTAAAGCCTCTCTTTGGAATCCTATTCTTAGTGGATAAAGCTAAGCTAAACGTTTTCACGTTTTCTTAACATATTAATCTTTGTGTTGTATCACAATGTTACTTAGGGATTGTCCATAAATTACTTAACGCAAAATTTTACAATAATCAAAACAAAAAAAAGATCAAAAGTTTTCCCTCGCAGAGTCTTAATCAAAGTAAAAAATCAAAATAGTCCATTAAGTTCAATGAAAATCGCCGTGCAAATAAGCCTAATATCTCTTACTTATGTTTTTAAATTATATTTTGCGTTGCGTAATTTATGGACGATCCCTTATTGTAACTTTGTGATAACACCGTTTAGAGAATTAGTCTTCAAGTTTATTTCATAAATTTCTTCAAACTAAAACTACTTATTTTTTTCTTTTAGTTCATGTTTTACATAAGCATGCATTTCATTAAAGTACTTATATATTTAGAAACTATTTTTAGTTTTTGTATAAAGTATATTATATATGGAGGACTTTTTTTTTTCTCTCGGCGGCACTGTTATTACCTGGTAAATTTTCTATTAATTATTCAAAAGTAAATTTTCTATTAATTCTATTAATTTCTATTAATTCTAAATCTATTATTTAGTATTATTTATATTTTCTCAAATTTCTATGATCGAATAAATCCATGAGGAGTCGTGAACTTCCTGGTTAAATGCACTTCCGCGGTGCTCTGTGACAAGACCGTTAGATCTTCTTTGGGCACCTAAAAATAATTAAAAAAAAAAAAAAAATGACTTAGTACAATATATATTTACAATTTGGCTGGTGCAGCTATAATTTAACGGGTTATTTAAGAAACACCTTAAGGTGGTACCCCAAAAAATAAAGAGACGTAAACAGTTAAAAAGTATAAAAAAAAGGATAAAGTTAAGAAAACTGAAAAAATATCATATGAACCTGGATGTTCTTATTTTAATATCTTTATTCCAGAAATTAAATATTTTTTTATGCTTTTTGAGTAATTTTAATTTATCTCGAAATCTCAAAATATAATTTTTCACTAGTTTTCAAAGTTTGCGAAATGATAACTTTTTAAAAAGTTATGCAAAAGTTCTGAAATTTTCACAGGTTGTTCTTCATATTATTAAAATTTATTTGAAAACAGATTTTTTTTCAATGCATTTTAGATCTTAAAACTTTGTTATATATTAGGGTTGTTTGGCTCGCTTACTTTTTAGTGATTCATGCATAATTTCTAAAATATTCATTTGTTTTCATTTCTTTTCTCTCAAATGAATTACCATGATTAAAAAATGTTCCAAATTTCATGCTAAAATGACTAGTAAATTTTGAGTAATTACTTCACAAAATTTCGGTTATTTTCAAATTTTTTGGAGTAATCGAGGCAAAGATTTTCAAGTTTGATAGCATTTTTGAAAAATTTTTAAATTATGTATTTATGCTGTAAAAATATAAGTGTGCTCTAGTTCCAATCAAATTTTAATATATTTCTAAGGGTACCACCCCAAGAAAAGCGAAGTCAAAAAAAGCGACTTTTGGGAAACGAGAAAAAACATTTTAACTTTTTATACAAAGTGTTAATGATTTTCAAAAATACAAAGTTCTTTACTCTGTGACTTTTTTATACTAACTATTTTGGCGTTTTATTTTACTATCCTTATAAAATAATATTTATCAAAATAATAAAAAATTACTTAAAACCAAAGTTGTTAGCCCTTGGCCTTGACCTGGCCTTGAGGCCAAAAGTTTAGGCCTTGGCTTTGGCCTTGACTTTGGCTTTGAAACTGTTGGCCTTGGCCTTGAAAACTTTTGCCTTGGCCTTGTTTATTTTGGCCTTGGCTTTGAAAAAAAATACATATATTTTATTGATTTTGATGAATTCTGGACATGATTTTTGTCTATTTTTACAAAATGTGGTTTCATTTTCACAGCACTTGCTACTTACAGTTTTGTGAAGAATTGGCCTAAACGTATTGCAAAAATTGAAGTCTTAAGTCTTGAAAATCTTTGCGTACGTCTTGGCCTTGAAGCTCTTGATCTTGGCCTTGACCTCAAAACTCTTGGCCTGGGCCTTAACACTTTGACCTTGGTCTTCTAACTTGTGGCCTTGGCCTAGCTACTTTTGGCCTTGTTAACAACTCTGCTAAAAACTAATCATATAACACAAAATCATCTATACTGCACGCATATTTTGCTGAACATTAATAGGCCACTCGCTAACTGTTTATTATACAAATAATTCTACTCCATCTCAGATATTTTTTTAAAACATCATAGTCACGTGATACACATTAGTTAATCATAAGCACACCTAGATATTATTGTTATTATTGTCAGACCTCTGTAACCTTTTTTTAACTTTAGATTACCTATATTACCTATATAGTTTTGACATTTTTACAAATTACAAAAAATATCATTTTTGTTTGTACCTGCTTTTGAACATATGTTTATATAAAACATAAGATAACTAATACAAGTTGTTACAAAATTATTATTGTTACTGTTATGTTACTGTCATTATATTTTAGATGTTTTGAAACTGTTTATGGTAACGTTTAGGGTATATAATTTATGTCTTATATAAATCCATCTCTAATTTTGTATTACACGACTGGCAATATATACATACAAAATACACATGTTACTACTACATGTTTTACCCCATCTTTCTTCAGATGCAACCAATTTCAATTGTTGGAAGATTTGGTGAAAAGAAGAACGTTTTGAGTTAAGATTGTTGATTTAAAATATTTTCTGACTAGAGAAAGAGGTTGGTATCCTTAAAAGATAGGAGAGCCTTAAACCAGAAAGGAGTCAGGACTGGGTATCGCGACTTCCCGGACTTTTTGCTTTCTCGGGATAGCAGGAATTGTTTATAGCTTTCCGAGGATCTTAGGAAAATGTTGAGTTAAACATTTTTTTAGCTGCTAAACGGGATGGTCCTGTAGTTAATTGCATTATAATTGTGACATATTACATTATTATTATTAGGCTTACCGTTATATCTTTCTTTTGCTATATTTTCATATATGGGTAAAAGTCTACCAATTATTTTACTAGCTATATTTATCATTTCTGTTTTTGGATGATGGTATTACAAAATAAGTTATTATAAATCTTTTTAAAGATTGTAAAACATAACATTTTTGACATATTCTTTTAACAGAATATTTTTGACATATTCTTTAAACATTTTTAAGGTCCTTTGCTGAAATAGCAATCTTGAGAAACAAAATCTTTATTAATAAACGTTAATGCGTCATTAGCTGTTAATTATTTTGCTTTCCTTCTACAAATTATTTCAGAACCTATAAAAATTGATAAATTTTCAGCTACTTTTAGTTCACCACTAGACAACATGAAATTTTTAGTTTGAAATCCACCAGAGATTCAACAACTGATTTTTTAACTTTACTAATTCTTTGAATCACGCCCAGCAGTCAAAACCAAAAAGTTTTCGAATTTAAAATAAGAACTAGTTTTTTGTCCAAATTCACTTTTAGAAAAACTTTTTAAAGTATCCCTTTTTAAGAGAGGTTTTAAAAGTTACAACATTTTTACGAACTTTAACCAAAACTTTATGAAGCAACTTTTCATAACGAAAAATATTTCAATTTTTCATAACGAAAGCTCCATCTGTTTTATGCAAACATCACTGAAAAGACTTACATTGAAAATATCTTTATCTTCTTTTTTATTCAACTTTTTATATAATATTTAGGTTTCATGACATCTGTTTTAAATTTAGGCAGACTGAAATTTTTATCGCAAAGCAACTTACGAATTTGATCCAACTCAGTTTTGGCACTTATAGAAAATCCATCAATAGCAGCAATTTGAGCCAATTTTTCTCCTAATGAAACTTTTGTTACAATAGAATCAATTTTAGATTGAACACTATGTTTTTTATTTGGAGGTTGTTTTTTTTCACATTCTTTGCTTAAAAAAAAACATTGTAGATTTTTTTTTTCGACCAAGCGGTTGGAACGTCTTTCCATAATAATAATTTTGGATAACGTTTGCATTCTATCTTATTATTTTTTAAGAATCATAATAATACCAAACCTTTAAAGTTTTACAATTTGAGGACATTTTTCTTAAACTAGTTTAAATTTTTAATGCACATTGATAAATTTCAATAACTATACAATAAAATTAGGTAATCTTCTAATAGTTCAAAAAAAACAAAAAATTATAACTTTGGCGGTAAAATTAAACATTCCGTAAAAATTTCCCGGACTATTTTTCCCGGAAATTTCCCGGGAACAATCCTTATTTGTGACGTAATAACGATTAATAATTAATCATTTAATCATATTATGTATTATACATTGAGCAACTTAATGCTCATTCGTCTGTTTGCACAGAACTTACGGTAGCCATTAGTCCCGAATTAATGGTGAGAAAGAGTCTCTCACCACTTTTATATATTGAAGTATAAGAAATTCATGTAAGTATGTATGTAACTTATGTAAATTGATAGCAATATGTCATTTACATTTAATGTAAAAATTCCATTAGTATAGCGCTACGTCTGTTGTTTAAACGTCAGTGGGTTAAGTTTAGCTTAATTCTAAAGTTCAGACATTTCTTTCAAAATAAATAAACGGGATGAGGACTAGACCCGCGAGCTGCGGGTTTAGTCCTCACCCGGTTAATTATTTTGAAACACCCATAATTTCGATTTATTTTTAGCCTATAATAAGTCATAACATCCAACAGCATAACTAAATTAATAATTAATTATTTATGACATTTTATCGTTAAACTAGTTTATAATTTCCAATTTTTTTGTTATTTATATATATTTGCGGGAGATCATTTAACAAGAAGTTCACGCCTTTTTCCGAACCAATGTCGCTTGTTGGGCTAAAGCTGGCTTCGTACCTAGAGCCTCTTGGTTCTGAGCCAGAACTCTAACCACTGCGCCACGGCTGCTCAATTAATAGTTTTAAAGTGTCAGTTGCAGTCCGGAACCATTAGTCTGTATTACTATATTATAAAAAGTATCAACTGTACCAACTATATATATATAAAAAAAAAATCATCATTAAGTTCGGAAGGATTGCCAAATAATAGTGCTAATAGTAGTAGATAATAGTATACAGAAATAAGTAGGGATACTGTTAAAAATGTTTGGATGTTTTTATTGACGAAAATGTAAATTGGAATAAACATTCTGCTTGTTTAGGTAGTAAAATATCTAGGTAGTAAAAGCATTGAAACATTAAAATATTTAGGTAGTAAAAGCATTGAAACAATGTATTAGTCACATTACTTATTAAAAAAACCACAGCTCAAACAAATCTCTTTACTATAACTTTATTCAAAGTTACCTAAATTACGGTAATATAGCATGGAGTAGTACCTATAAAACAAAACTAAAATCATTCTATCGTAAACAGAAGCATGCCATACGCGTGATTAATTTTAAAAATAAAACAGAAAACTCAAAACCTTTTTTTGAACAAATGTCTTTATTGACATAAATGTATATAATGTT